TGGAAGAGACATATCCAGAAAAATATTGCTAAGTTTGATACCCAAGAGATTACTGCCTATGCTTCCTTTTAGGAGTTTTATGGTTTCAGGTCTCACATTTAGGTCTTTAATCCATTTTGTTTTGTTTTAAGTTTATTTATTTATTTTGAAAGAGAGCAAGAGAGTGTGCATGGGAGGGGTGGGGGGGGGGTGGAGGAGAATCTCAGGCAGGCTCCACACTGTCAGCTTAAGGAACACGATGCAGTGGTCATACTTATGATCCCATGAGATCATGACCTAAGCCAAAATCAAGAGTTGGACACCCGACCGACTGAACCATCCAGGTGTCCCTTTAATCCATTTTGAGTTTATTTTGGGTATTATGTAAGAAGGTGATCCAGTTTCATTGCTTTGCATGTAGTTGTACAGTTTTCTCAGAACCATTTATTGAAGAGACGGTCTTTGCTTGATTGTACGTTTTTGCTTTTTTTGTTGTAGATCAATTGGCCATATAAACGTGAGTTTACTTTTGGGCTCTCAATTCTATCCCATTGATCAATGTATTTATTTTTGTGCTGTTTTGATTATTACAGCTTTGTTATATAATTTGAAATCTGGGATTGTGATCCCTCCAGCTTTGTTCTTCTTTCGTAAGGTTGCTTTGGCTTTTGGGGTCTTTTGTGGTTCTGTACAAATTTTTGTTTGTTTGCTGTAGTTCTGTGAAAAATGCTGTTAGTATTTTGATTGATTGCTTTGGGTAGTATGGACAGTTTAACAGTATTCTTCCAATCCATCAGTATGATCTATCTTTCCATTTCATCCATTGTGGCCTATCATAAAATCTGTCTTGGAGAATGTTCCATGTACCCTTGAAAGGAATATGTATTCTGCTCTTTTGGAGCAGAATGTTTTGTACCATCTCTCTTAAGCTAGAGTTTTATTCAAAGCCACTGTTTCCTTTTCATTTTTTTATCTGGATGACCTATCCACTGATGTAAATAGTGTTTTAACATTCCCCACTTTTATAAAGGGAGAAACTGACAGTAATACAAAATCTGTTAATATTTGCTTTATATATTTAGCTATTCTTAAAAGTTGGGCACATAAATTTTTACAATTGTTATATCTGCTCGAATTGATCCCTTTATCAATATGTAATGATCTTTTTTTCTCTTGTGACAGTCTTTGTTTTAAAGTGTATTTTGTGTGAAGGTGCCTGGGTGGCTTAGTTGGTTAAGCATCTGAATTCAGTTCAGGTCATGATCTCACAGTTCATAAGTTCAAGTTCCACATTGGGTGAGCTCATGCCCTGCTTCAGGAAAGCACAAGCCCCACTTTGGTTGAAACTTGCTTCTTCCTTCCCTCCCTTCCCTCCCTTCCCTCCCTTCCCTCCCTCCCTCCCTTCCTCCCTCCCTCCCTTCCTTCCTTCCTTTTCTTTCTTTTCTTTCTTTCTCTTCCCTCCCTCCCTCTCTTCCTTCCTTCCTTCTTTCTTTCTTTCCCTCTTGCACTGTCTCTCTCTGTCCCTCGTGGGATTCTCTCTCACTCACTAACTCTTGGCCCTTTGCTCACTGTGCCTTCCTTCACCTCTCAAAAAAAAAAAAAAAAAAAGTATTTGAGTATTGATACCCCAGCTGTATGTGTGGTTTTGTTTGTTGGCTTCCATTTACATGGACTAGTTTTTTTCTGTCTATTCATTTTAGTCTGTATAGTTCTTTAGATCTAAAGTGAGTATAGATGAGTCTTATTCTTTTAATCCATTCTATGATTGGAGCATTTAGTCCATTCACATTTAAAGTATGATTGAGGGGCACCTGGGTGGCTCTGTCAGTTAAACATCTGACTCTTGATTTCAGCTCAGGTCATGTCTCATGGTTTATGGAATTGAGCCCTGCAGTTGGACTCTGCACTCTCTGCCCCTCCCCTGCTTGCTCTCTTTCAAAATAATTTTTTTTTTAATGTTTGTTTATTCTTGAGAGAATGAGACACATAGTGTGAATTGGGGAGGTCAGACAGAGGGAGAGGGAGACACAGAATCCAAAGCAGGCTCCAGGCTCTGAGATGTCAGCACAGAGCCTGATATGGGGCTCGAACCCACAAACTGTGAGATTATGACCTGAGCTGAAGTCAGATGCCCAAGTGACTGAGCCACCCAGGTCACCCACAAAGTAAACATAAAAAAAAGAAAGTAGTTGTTGATGGATGTGTATTCATTGTCATTTTGTTACTTTTTTTTTTTTTTTCTGTAGTTCTCTGTTCCTTTTTTCTCTTGCTCTCATCCCTTCTGGTTTAATGGCTTTCTCTAGTGTTCTGCCTAGATTCTTTTCTATTTTTGTCTGTTAGACAAATTTTTAGTTACCATTGGGTTCATATGTAAGATCCTATGTGTATGTAGCAGTCTGTATTGAGTTGATGGTTACTTACATTCAAACACATTATAAAAGCATGACATTTTTACTCCTTCCTCCACATTTCATATATTTGATATTCTGTATCTTTTTATTTTGTGTATCCTTTGACTAATTTTTGTGTATATAATTGATTTTACTACTTTTGTGTTTTAATCTCCTTACTAGCTTTGTGATTGATCTTACTATGTTTACTTTTAATAAAATTTTTTAATGTTTATTTTTAAAAGAGCATGAGCAGGGGAGGGGCAGAGAGAGAGGTACAGAATCTAAAGCAGGCTCTAGGTTCTGAGCTGTCAGCCCGACACAGGGCTCAAACTCATGAACCACGAGATCATGACTGGAGCCAAAATCAGATGCTTAACTGAACCACCCAGATGCCCTGCTGTATGTTTACTTTTACCAGTAAGAGTTTTCCTTTCATACTTTTCTTGTAAAGAATTCCCTTTAACATTTCTTGTAAGGCTAAATATAGTGTTCTTGTTTGTTTTATCCCCTCAGCACTTTGCATATATCCTGCCACTCCTTCTAGACTGTAAAGTTTCTGAAAAATCAGAGGACAGCCATAATTATGGGGTTCCCCTTGTATATGATCATTTGCTTATCTGTTTTTAAGGTTCTCTCTTTATCTTTAATTCTTGCAATTTTAATTATTATGAGTCTTGGTGTGGACATCCTTGGGTTCATCTTGTTTGGGGCTCTCTGTGCTTCCTGGACCTGAATGTCTGTTTCCTTTCCCAAATTAGGGAAGTCTTCAGATATTATTTCTTCAAATAAGTTCTGCCCCTTCTCTGTCTCTCCTCCTTCTGAGACCCCTATAATGCAAATTTTATTATTCTGCCGATATTGCAGAGGTCTCTTAACCTGCCGTTTATTCTTTTTGCTATTCAGCTTGGTTGCTTCCCATTACCCTGATGCACTCTTTTGCACCCTGTAATCTGTTGCTTCCCACTAGAATATTTCTCAGCTCGGCTATTGTATTCCTCACTTCTGATTGGTTTTTACATTTTCTCTCTCTCTGTTGAAGTTGTGAGTTCATCCACTCTTCTCTCAAGTCTGGTGAGTATCTGTATGACCATTACTTCGAGCTCTTTATTGGGCATATTGCTTATCTCTGTTTTGTTGAGCTCTTTTTCTGTGATTTCTGTCTTCATTTGGGATATATACCTCCGTCGCTTTGTCCACCTCTGGATTTGTTCTAGTGTTAAGTAGGTGAGCTACGTCTCCTGATCTTGAAAGTAGCGGGGTCCTGTTGTCACCTGTACAGGAATCCCTAGTCACTAGAACTGAGCACTTCAGGAATGTCCCATGGGGGCTACACGTGCCTCCTGCTGTGGCCAAGCTGTGACTGCAGCAGGTGCACTGGTGTGTAGGGCTTGTTCCCCACGAGGCCTAGTTGCAGCTACTGTGGGTACACCAGTGGGCAGGGTTTGCCTCCTGTGCTGGCTTGGGAGCCGGGCTGTGGGCTCATTGGGGGGCATGGTTGGCACTGGGCCCAGCTGTCTGCGAGGTAACGAGCCACCGTGACCGCCGCAGGTGTGCTGGTGGCGTGGGTCTGCTTCTGCCCTCCGCTCCCTGAGCAGGGCAGGTTGTGCTAGCAGGGTAGATGAAGAGTGCTACAACGGACTCCTGCAAGCCTCTGGCTAGCTAGGCTGGGGAGGGGCAAGAAAAACGGCGCCTGTCAGCACTTTGATTTCCAGAGAAAGCCCTGCAGATGCCTGCCCCAGTGGCACGTGTCCTAAAAGCGCCTTCTGTGCTGTATCTTAGGCTGTCTGTAGCTTACTAGCTCTTCGAGGGTGGAGACTCCATTTCTTACAGCCCTCTGGCTCTCATGGAGTTAAATCTTGCTGATTTTGAAAGCCAGACGTATGGACATTCACCTTCCCAGTGCGGGTCCTGAGGGTGCCCGGTGTGCGCTCTGATCCCCTTGTTCCTCTGTGCCTATGATGTCCCTCTCGTTGGTGGGCAGTTGTGCCGGGGGTTTGGTTCCAGACTGCACTTCTGCTCCTCCTGCCCTTTGCAATGTAGCCGCCTTTGTACGATGAGCTGGAGGATGTTGTGCATCCTCAGAAGTAGTAGTTGCCTCTGTGGGACGAGGTGAGCTCGGGGTCTTCCTATTGTGCCGTCTTCCTCTGAGCCCTGGAAGCTGTTCTGAATTCCCTGTGAGCACCTGTGTTCCCCTGGGGTCTGGAACCATTGTGTTTTCCCACCTACTAGTTTGTTGCCACTTTTTAAATCACCAGACCCATCATCTAACTTGGTATGCAGCTCAGTTTCTCTGCCAGTCACCTTTCTCGGAGGACTACTGACCTCTAGTATTGGCATTCTGATTCAGTCAGCAGAAGCAAGTGCAATTGCTTTTTTCTTTCCCCAAAATGTTGAGAGCATTCAGAGGCTGCTTTGTATCTTTTTTTTTTAAGTTCCTCAAGTGATTTTGAATTAGAAATCTTAATCTTTTAATAAAGGAGTTCGTGTAATTTTTTGATAGCTTTGCTATTTGTCCTATTTCGTTTTTACACCAAATCAGAAGTAGAATTGCTTTTCTTATAAATATCCTTAAGGGATAAACCAATTTTTAATTTGGATGTTAGTATTAAGTGTGTTTTTTCCTCACAGGTGTCATCTTTAAGAAGTGAAAAGCGAGGCTCATCATATCTCATCTCTGCCCCAGAAGGCGGTTCCGTGGAATTTGTCAACCAGCATTCTCAGGGCCCAGGAGCATATTACGTGGAAACCTACCTAAAGAAGAAGCGCGTCTACTGAGTTAAGTTCTCTCCTTAGAGCCTCCTAAGGTTTTTTGCAGGGTCTCTGCTGGTCATCGCTGCCTTAACTACATTCAGACTAGCCATATCCTTTAAATACGGGTTTCTAATTTCCCAGAAGGAACTGTATAGTGCAGCAAGCAGAATTGCCAAATAAAAAATAAGTAGCAATAAGACAATTGAGGACATGTTCCATTAGAATTAGATGCATCTTAATGTGATATTAACTTACAGCCCATTGGAGAATTTAACAGTGCTCCAATATTCCTTGTTTAGGACTGGGAGTAATTTTGTCACCATCTATAGAAGTGTGAAGCAATAAATGGGAAACAGTCTTGTTTCCCTGAGCCTTAGAAGAATGAGTTTCTTATATGCCAGTGTGCATTTCAATTGACTTTCCCTAGATATAACTCATTTAGAGATTTTTTTTTAGGACTTTTTCCTAGAACTACAAGAGTGCAAGTACAAGACACAGTGGTGGTAATGTTATAAAGATGCTCTATGTGCAAACTAAATAATTACCCCCACGCTAGCTCTGCAGTATAAAACCCAGAGTGGTAGTGATGTCCAAGTTACACACAACTGCAGATGCTTTACTTTTACTGATACGTACCGCTTATACCTTTTGTGAAAAACAAGGTATTTTTAAAAGTAGTTTTGGTGAAGTAATTTCAGGGATTGGCAGACTACACCCTGGGGTCAAGTTCAGTCATCCCTGTTTTTATATTGTCTGCAAGCTAAGAGTGATGTTTATATTTTTAAGTGAAGTAGAAAAGATTTGAATTCTGTGAAATTCAAATTTCAGAGTCTCTGTAAAATTTTATTTGAACGCAAACCTATTCATTCACTTCCATGCCATCTATGGCTACTTTTGTGCTCTTGTGGAAGTGCTGAGTAGCTGTGGCAGAGATCAGATGGTCTGCAAAGCCCAAAATACTGTCTGGCCCTTTTATGGGGAAAGTGTGTTGACCCCTGATCTAAAAGCACGAATTCCCTAATCCTTTAATTTTTGCAAAGGACTTGTAAGCAGGCATGCAACATAGGTTTATGCATCTGGTTTCATGGCATAAAGTAATGATGACCTAATTGCTAGAACAAGGTGTGTTTTGACCCTCAATGCCTGATTTCCACCATGTAACCAGGCAGTACTGCTCTTTCTGAAGGAGTACTACAGAGTAAGAGTGTAACAGTTTTGAGCTAGCAAGTTATACCTCGCATTCTGCTTTCTCTTTTCAGCCTACCACTACAAAAGAGTAATTCAATTTACTTTAAGAAATGTGTTTATTTCGTTAACTTTCGACATCACCATTTCCTGGAAACTTTGGTACTGAAAAACTCTATGCCATCTAGAAATTTCCAAGTTTGTTCCTTGTTAGTAGACAAAGTGAGTAGTTCCTTTAATTGAGGATCTGGAGTTTAGGAGTCTCAATGATCCTAGTCTTGAAATCAGATCATTAAATAGTAATTTGGTAAGGAGACTTGGTTTTGACTATAAGGTACCCTATTTTAATTATGAAGTTTAAGATTGGCACATGTATGAATTATAAAAAATTTACTTGGTCTGATTCATTTCATTTGAAAATGACAGCTAGAAAGTTAATGTCTAAGAAGTAAACTAAGTAACTGGTCAGGAGTGGCATCACTCGGTTATTACTCAGCAGATGAATAATGGTTTCTCCCCATTCTGTACTTCTCCTACTGCATTAGTACAACCGTAAATCAGAGCTGCAAAATGAAAGCAGGAACAGGTTGAAGGCACTAACTAAGGGATTCTGAATTAGAGCCTGTGCAGATCTGCCATCTGTACCGGCCTGGGCCCTGTCCTCACTGGACATAGCAGATAAGTGATGTGTGTTTGTAATAAGGACCGTTACCAAACTCCCCCTGCAAAGTCTTTACTGTTATTTTTCTATGTAAACAAATTGTCTGGATGCTTTGAAAGTGAAGTCTTAATATTAAAAGGCATATGCATGTGAAGTCTCTAGTATATTTATTTGTATAAAGAGTAAACAAAGTGCATATAGAGTGGCCACAGGTTTGACACAGACAGAGACCTTGTTGATGAAGGGTTATTGAACAAATTTGCCATTGCATCAATTCAGAACTCTCTTTTAGGCTCAAAAGGTGAAAAGTAATGACATCAAACAAATGCTAGACGGCATTAACAAAGCGTTTTCCATTCTTGGTCATAAAGATCTTATGGTTCACATTGAATCAGAGATTAGACAGTTCTGATTACAGCTACCTCCAAGCCAACTGAAAACTGTAGAGTAGATCCTGAGCTCTGGCAGATGGCATCCAAAACCAATGCTGGCACAGCTTGGCCCAAAGTGGTAGAGTTCTAGAAGGCTCTCCATGGACGTTTCATGAATGTATGTAGGATAGTATCCAGGAGTCTTGGAGTCAATTCTGATTAAACATATACTGTTGAGGAAAGCACTGGCACAGGCTTGGTTCTCAAGAATGAACATGCAGCAGGGTATCCCACAGCTGTCCCCCTGGGTATGACCCGTTTTCTCAAAAATCAGTACTGCTGGTCACCCAAGGGGGCAGGAGCTAAGCCACTGAAGAAAACTCAAACTTTAAGTCCTACTGATGACAGGAATATACTCATCTTTGTATAGAAACAGTAATCTACTAACTGGTATCTAATGTTTCAAGAATGCTTGGTCTATCACTGTAAAGATATTGAAATTCAAGGGCAACTTACAAGTACTAAGTCCATCAATCTTTGTCTTCAATTTACCTGCTGGGAAAGCATTTCAGATCAACTGGCAGCTGGGAACAAGTGCCTGGGTCAGCTCCTCATTTCTATCCAAACAAAACGGTGGAACCTACTCTTTCCAAAAGGAGGAGTGCTTAAGTGCTTTCTGTTGTTCTGGTTGTCGTCATTTGTTACTGGTGCCAAATTTAAAGAGGGAAGTACTTACACATGAGCACTGCAGTGTGCCTTATACATGGTACATGCCCAAATACAAATTTTTTCCATTAAAATTTCTTTTTAAATGGCTTGGGTATTGGTTGGGAAAGGAGGACTTGATACATAGGAGTTTAAAGGTTATTCATGCCTCTTATTTTAAAAGTGCTTCTAAAAGTGCTTCAAATCCTTTAATTAGGTTCTGAAAAGTTGTCCGATTAGCTGGTTGGAATTCCCAACATTTTCTCATGAGCTGATAAACCTGTAAGAAGGGGGAAAAAAAATGTAAATGACTTTCCTTATTACTCGATTACTCTTATTAACTGAAAGTATTTGTGAGCTATAGTTGTCACATTTCCTAGATCTTAACATTTGAGAAGCTCATGAACTGACCTTCCAAAAAAATCCATGTCATTACATCTTGATTCTATTTCCTCACTGGTTGTTCTTAGATCATTTGAGATGCACTAAAGAGTATGTGTGAGTGAAAGAGTCTTAAAGGCTCAATTCACTTTAGGATACAGAGAACTGAGTGTCATAAATGCTATGGACTCAAATGCAGTTACACTTGACCCGTGAACAACACAGATTTGAGCTGTGTGGGTCCAGTTATGCACAGAGCTGACTAAATACAGCACAGTGCTATAAGTGTGTACGGCATATAACACATCTACAAAATATGTGCTACTTGTTATCATGAAGGTCAAGGGTCCTCTGTGCATGTACCTGTCACAATAAGGCTACACCAGAAGAGCCTACATATGGAGGGAATCCCTTACTTTAAACATAACTGTCATCTGCCCCAAAGATGATTTTTCAGATGTCTGATCTGAGATTCAGCTTTAGAAAATTATTTTAAAACTACTTTTCTACTTCTTCGCACACCTCCTCCTCTACCCTCAAGCCCTGACAACGTAACACAAATTGAGTGGAGTATTGTAAAAAAGGCCAACAAGTACCTCATCTGGGCAGTTAGGTGGACAAGGCAGACGTTTTCCTTCTTTTAACGTATTCACAAGTCTTGTTACTGTCATCTGGCCATGAGTTGGGCCTATCATTTTCAGGAACAACTATGTAAAATAAAACCAAAATGTTTTAGCACATGTTTATATAACACTAGTTTAAGGTAAAATTCCTAGAATTAACTGGAAGTTAGAATAATAAAAAGGCTCTTCTCCTTACTAACTTTAAATGAAAGTTCAAAATCTTGATTTACTCAATGATTAGTCAGTCTATAATCAATCTCTCAGACTCCACCCTCCCTTGGCTGAAGGGCCTGTCCTGGTGAAAATGATCTCATTTATGAACACGTGAGGCTCCACCAAGGCCCTACCCACTGCTCCCTCATTCTCCCAGGAGACTGTCCCTGCACTCCTCACACAGGTAAGATCCTTGAAAAGGAGTGTCATTTTCTAGAACTCTGGCTCCTAGTGAAACAGGATCTGCGAGAGCCACAATTAAGTGTCAAGTGGCAAAAACCATGGTAAGTGGAAAAGTGACACTTTCCATTAGAACACACTGACTACATTCTATTTAAGAACAAAATTTCCACATTTGAACTGGTATGAGGTTCGGATGAAGGGACAGAAGACTTACTGCCATGGGGCTGGAATCGGAGTCACAGTAAGTGAGCAGCTCATGCAGGGTCACTCCAAACGACCAGACGTCAGAGGCGATATAAAATTTACACTGAATTAAACATTCTGGAGCATACCTGAAAGAATGCAGAGCATGACACTTCATTTCCTGGGAAGGATATTTCAACAAACATTAAAGAATAATTCTGAAAAATCACCTCTTCCGTTTTTCTTAGTGTTTATTATCCACAGAGACCGAAGTACACACCTTACACGTCCGACAACACTGTTACAGGCTCTCTGTAGCACACGGCTACTTTAAAATATTAGTCTGTGCTCTTCACAGAGCACGTGCTGTCCATGTGGAGGAGGGGGTGGCATAGAAGAGGAGGCCCCAGGTTTTCTTTCAAGTTCAAAATTAGCAATGACCTCAGTACCCAGCCCTCTTCCAAGGTCAACTGTTAACAGGGGATGATCCCCCACCGCCTCAGCCAGGAATGGAGGCACCCCCCTATCTAGCTTTCTACTTCTCTCAAGCCCCAGTGTCCCTGTCCTAGTTCACATCCTCCTGGGCTCTGGCTGAATCAGACTCCCTGGCTCCGATCTTGTTCCCCTCGCATCCACAGTAATCTTTTTAGATTTTTTTTTTTCTTTTAGAGCCCAGGGAGAGGAGCAGAGAGAGCAAGAGAGACAGAGAATCCCAAGCAGGCTTCATACTCAGCGCGGAGCATGACGCGGCTCCATCTCAAAACCGTGAGATCATGACCTGACCTAAATCAAGAGTCAGACGCTTAACCAACTGAGCCACCTGGGCGCCCCCACAGTGATCTTTTTAAAACAAAAGCTGCCATTCTTAAACCCTCCCATGGTCTCCCAAAACTCTTGGAGTGGAAGGAGTGCCAGCCCTGTGACTCGGCTTCCAGTGCTCTGCCTCAGCAAGTCCCTGAGACCTCCCACTTCGTGACCCAGCCACACCGAGCTGATTCAGGTCCTGGGATAGTCACTGCCCTCGTCTCATTCTTGCTAGTCACACATGCCTTTATCTAACCATCCTTAAAAACCCCCATGGATCTTTTTAAAATCTTTATAAGACTTCCAGAAAACCAAGCCTGAACCCTTCTATGCTTATGATACCATGAAATTGGCTGTCCCATCCATTAAATCCTAAACTCAGTCTGCTTGTTCACCACAAATCTCTAGTACCCAACACAAAGTAGGGTCCTGATACATACTTATGAATGAATGAATAAGGCTTAGGCTC